TGCTGGAGTGAGGATTGCACTGCTGGGACATGGAGAGGGGTGATGGAGTGAGGATTGCACTGCTGGGAATTGCAGAGGGGTGATGGAGTGAGGATTGCACTGCTGGGAATTGCAGAGGGGTGCTGGAGTGAGGATTGCACTGCTGGGACATGGAGAGGGGTGATGGAGTGAGGATTGCACTGCTGGGAATTGCAGAGGGGTGCTGGAGTGAGGATTGCACTGCTGGGAATTGCAGAGGGCTGCTGGAGTGAGGATTGCACTGCTGGGACATGGAGAGGGGTGATGGAGTGAGGATTGCACTGCTGGGACATGGAGAGGGGTGATGGAGTGAGGATTGCACTGCTGGGAATTGCAGAGGGGTGATGGAGTGAGGATTGCACTGCTGGGAATTGCAGAGGGGTGCTGGAGTGAGGATTGCACTGCTGGGAATTGCAGAGGGGTGATGGAGTGAGGATTGCACTGCTGGGACATGGAGAGGGCTGCTGGAGTGAGGATTGCACTGCTGGGACATGGAGAGGGCTGCTGGAGTGAGGATTGCACTGCTGGGACATGGAGAGGGCTGCTGGAGTGAGGATTGCACTGCTGGGACATGGAGAGGGCTGCTGGAGTGAGGATTGCACTGCTGGGACATGGAGAGGGCTGCTGGAGTGAGGATTGCACTGCTGGGACATGGAGAGGGCTGCTGGAGTGAGGATTGCACTGCTGGGACATGGAGAGGGCTGCTGGAGTGAGGATTGCACTGCTGGGACATGGAGAGGGCTGCTGGAGTGAGGATTGCACTGCTGGGAATTGCAGAGGGGTGCTGGAGTGAGGATTGCACTGCTGGGAATTGCAGAGGGGTGCTGGAGTGAGGATTGCACTGCTGGGAATTGCAGAGGGGTGCTGGAGTGAGGATTGCACTGCTGGGACACGGCAGGGCCAGCATGGGGGAACAGCGTGGTGGGACAGGAACAGCACGTGGCACTGGAATGGGTCCTCCTCTCCAGCTCTGTCACTGCAGGGCTGTGACATCACACCAGGGCTGTGACATCACTTGAAGGGAAGGTTGGGAATTCCAGGACAGGTTTGGAAATCCCTGGGCAGGCTCAGAAATCCCCCCTGGCTGAGGAGGTGCAGCCTGGGAAGGTTGGGAAGGACCTTCAGGCTCACCTGTCCCACCCCCAGCCCCGGGCAGGGACACCTGGGGTTGGAGTTGTGGCTGCTGAGAGTTTCACACTTGGTGTGCTGACAGACTCTGACCCCAGGAGGTGTTTGTTTGATATTCATTTGAATTTTTATTTTTTTTAATGGTTTTTATGTGTTATAGGGAAATAGAGGGGTGGTTTTATAGTTTTATAAGGGGATTTTAATTTTAAGATTAAGGTTTTTGGGGGTTTTTTTGAGGATTTAATTTTTTTATTGATTTTGATATTTTTATGGGGGTTTTTATATGTTTGTATTTTGGGATTTTTTTATTTGAGGGATGATTGAAGTATTGAAAGAGTTAATGTTTTGTTTGGGGTTTGTAGATGGCTGTTTGGAGTTTGTGGTGGGAATTGTGGTTGGGTCTATGTTAGGATTGGTTGTATGGTTGGTTTTGGGTTTTTTTGTATTTAATTTTAGCTGTAGGTTATGATTTATTTGGAGTTTGTGGTGGGAGTTGTGGTTGGGTCTATGTTAGGATTGGTTGTATGGTTGGTTTTGGGTTTTTTTGTATTTAATTTTAGCTGTAGGGTTATTTTGTGCGGGTTGCAGGGTTGTTTCTGGTTTTAATGGTAAGATTTTGTGTGCAGGCTGTGCTGGGGGCGGGGGATTTGGTGCCACATGCTCAGAGCTGAACTTCCACCAAGGCTTGGCAGGTTCTGATCTGTCCTGGGCTCCTGCAGGGACAGAGCTCAGTGTGATGTCACAGCCCTGCAGGGACAGAGCCTGGAGATGTCACAGCCCTGCAGTGATGTCACAGCCCTGGTGTGATGTCACAGCCCTGCAGTGATGTCACAGCCCTGGTGTGATGTCACAGCCCTGCAGTGACAGAGCCTGGTGTGATGTCACAGCCCTGGTGTGATGTCACAGCCCTGCAGTGATGTCACAGCCCTGCAGTGACAGAGCTCAGTGTGATGTCACAGCCCTGGTGTGATGTCACAGCCCTGCAGTGACAGAGCCTGGTGTGATGTCACAGCCCTGAGAGGGGAGCAGCTCAAGCCACTCCAGGCCATGCAAAGGAAGAATGTCAAATTTCAATCCCTACAGACCAGAACTGTGTCCTTCGGTTGGCCAAAATCTGCCTTTCTTGAGCTTCAGATCCACTTCGGCTGCTCCATTCCTGACTCCAGAGGGATGGGCCTGGACAGAATGTCACTGTGCTGACCTTATTTCAGTTTTGGCTCTTTATCCTCCTCCTGACACAATGTTCCAGGGAAAAAAGGGATGTCAGACTGGCCAGTTTCTTCCCTGATCTCATATTTACCCTTTTCCTACACCCACAATCCAGAGGAGATTGGGGCCCACACAAAGCTCTGCCCTTCCCTGCAGAGATCACTCCCAGGAGGGGAGCTGGGGAGGACAGGGACACACTGTGTGACATCCCAGTGGCACACATCAGGCACGGCCGTGCCTTGGGTGCTCTCCTTCCCCCAGGACATTCCCTGCAGCTCCTGCCACCTGCTGCAGCCTTCAGCAAACCAAAGCCCTTCTGCCAGGAGCCCTAGCAAACCCAGGGAGGGCTTTGCGTGGGACACAGGACAAATTCTTCCCTGGCAGGGTGGGGATGGAATTCCCAGAGCAGCTGGGGCTGCCCCTGGATCCCTGGCAGTGCCCAGGGCCAGGCTGGACACTGGGGCTGGGAACACCCTGGGACAGTGGGAGGTGTCCCTGCCATGGCAGGGGTGGCACTGGGTGAGGTTTAGGGCCCCTTCCCACCCAAACCATTCCAGGATTCCCCAAGGATGAGCTGGGCTCCAGTGGAAGGTGCCCACTCAGCACCACCCCAGCAACACGAACCCATCCAGGAGTCACCAAGCACACGTAAAACCGAGGTGTTCCAGCAATAGATGCTGCCCCAAAATGTCTGTTTCCCCACCAAAACGAGCCCCCAGGACTGCCAGTGTACCCAACACGCAGTTATGTCCGTGAGAAACACCCCGAGGGTGCAAAACACGGATTGATGCGTGGAAAGGGAACCGTGTCTGCAAACGCTGCAGACCTTCTGCTGGGAGCAGCGGCAACATCTGGCTGCTCCCGGGGAAAGCAGAAAGCAGAAGGGCTCCCTCTGCAGTGGATCCCGAAACGCACACAGGGCTCGGGCTGAGCAGACAGAACGGGAATCAAACAAAGCGCAGGCATTCCTGCTCCCGCTGCTTCCCTCACCCTGCCTGCAGCGAGCACTCCGCCGGGCTGCACCACATGGAGCCATGCCCGGAATATTAAGTCATTAATTAGTTTTTCGTGCATGGACTTGTATGTGGCAAGGAGGCAAATGAAAGGATTCCTGAAGAGACAGGAAAGCTTCCTCAGCACGTGGAACCCTCCCAGGATCTCCCAGAAATCAGCCACGAAGCCAGCTGAGAGTCCCTGCTCCCATGGCCGTGCATGATTCCACAAAAGCCTCAGCAGCCCTGCCCGGGGCAGTAAAGCTCCCTGCAAGGGGAGAGAGGGATAACTCTGGGACTGGGACACACACACACACACCACGCTCTGCTGGAAGATCAGGGAGGCTCTGCTCCAGCTCCCAAAATCCCCCCACCCATTCCCAGGGCTCATTTGCATACAAGACAATTAATAGAAAATGGATTTCATGCAGGAAGGGGGGGAAAAAAAGTCAGATCACCTACAAAGTGGAGTCAACTTACTGCCTGCTTTTGCTCTTCTTCCTAGAGACGTGGGAGAGAGAGAGGAAAGATCAATTACCATGTGAAAATGATGATTTCACACAAAACACCCAGTGAAAGGACAGAACGTGGTGCCAGCACCTGCAGCACGACAGGACACGAAGGCACAGGTGACACTGGTCCCACTGTCCCACTCTAATGGCCTCTGGTGGTGCCCACAGTGGAGCACATGGGATGGGGATCCCTGGATGCAGGACAGGAGAGCCAGGGTGTCTGCTCCTCCAGGCAGGACTTCATGGCCTCAGCCTGGCACAGGGGAAGGTGCCCTGCCCAAGGCAGGGGGGATCTGGGTGGGATTTGAGGTCCCTTCCCACCCAAACCACGCCATGATCCTCAAATCCTCTCCTGCTCCGGACCTGAGGCCTCTGGAGCTACCCTCGAGCCAACAGACCCCAAATCCATCCCCTAAAGTCTGGAGCTGCCCCTGGGAGTGTCCAAACACAGAAACGTGCCAGCACAGAGCCCCAGCAGCACAACATCCCCCTGGCTCAGCTCCCCTGGCACTGCAGGACCTGCCAGGGGGACTGGCAAGGGCAGAGGATCCAGGGCTGGGAGGGCACAGCACAAGGCACGCACAGCCTCCCTGCCTCCCCTCCCAATCCAGTCTGTGATTCCAAAAATTCCCAGAGCTGGAAGCCCCAGACAGAAGGGTCAGCACTGCCAGGGTGCCCCAGATGTCCCATGTGTGGGCAACACTGAGAAAGCCCAACCCTGACTCAAAGGCAGCAGCCTGGGGAGGTCCCTGTGAGAGCCCAGGAACATCAGGGCAGGACTGCAGGGGGATCAATTAACCCTAACCCAAAAAACAGCCAGGATGGTCAGAAATCACAGAATGGGAACAGTCAGAAATCACAGAATGGGAACAGTCAGAAATCACAGGATGGCCAGAAATCACAGAATGGGAACAGTCAGAAATCACAGGATGGGGACAGTCAGAAATCACAGAATGGCCAGAAATCACAGAATGGGAACAGTCAGAAATCACAGAATGGCCAGAAATCACAGAATGGGAACAGTCAGAAATCACAGAATGGGAACAGTCAGAAATCACAGAATGGGGATGGTCAGAAATCACAGAATGGGAACAGTCAGAAATCACAGAATGGCCAGAAATCAGAGAATGGGAACAGTCAGAAATCACAGAATGGGAACAGTCAGAAATCAGAGAATGGGAACAGTCAGAAATCACAGAATGGGGATGGCCAGAAATCACAGAATGGGGATGGTCAGAAATCACAGAATGGGGATGGTCAGAAATCACAGAATGGCCAGAAATCACAGAATGGTCAGAAATTACAGAATGGGAACACTCAGAAATCAGAGAATGAGGATGGTCAGAAATCACAGAATGGGGATGGTCAGAAATCACAGAATGGCCAGAAATCACAGAATGGTCAGAAATTACAGAATGGGAACACTCAGAAATCAGAGAATGAGGATGGTCAGAAATCACAGAATGGGGATGGTCAGAAATCAGAGAATGGGAACAGTCAGAAATCACAGAATGGCCAGAAATCACAGAATGGGAACAGTCAGAAATCAGAGAATGGGAACAGGCAGAAATCACAGAATGGGAACAGTCAGAAATCAGAGAATGGGAACAGGCAGAAATCACAGAATGGGAACAGTCAGAAATCAGAGAATGGGAACAGGCAGAAATCACAGAATGGGAACAGTCAGAAATCAGAGAATGGGAACAGGCAGAAATCACAGAATGGGAACAGTCAGAAATCAGAGAATGGGAACAGGCAGAAATCACAGAATGGGAACAGTCAGAAATCAGAGAATGGGAACAGTCAGAAGTCACAGAACCAGAACGGTCAGAAATCACAGAACCAGGAATGGTTTGGCTTGGAAGGGACCTTGCCCAGGGCCTTTCCCTGCTCTGAGTGCCACCCCCACAGCGTGGGGACAGCGGGTGAGCCTCAGAGGACAGCCACGGATGGCCTTGCACAGATGGGCTTTCCTGGAGCTGTGGAATATTCTGGCTCGGGAGGGACCCACAGGATCATCACCCCAGCTCCTGCCCTGCCCAGACCACCAGATCCCACCCTGGCCATCCCTGGCTGTGCAAAGGCTCCTGGAGCTCTGGCAGGGCTGGGGATGTGCCCATGCCCTGGGGCAGTGCCCAGCACCCTCTGGGGACAGAACCTTTCCCAAAATCCACCCCAAATCCCCTGGCCCAGCTCCAGCCCTTCCCTGGGTCCTGTCCCTGTCCCAGAGATGAAGGTCACAGCTGCCCCTGGGGGGAAGCTGCTGACACCTCCAGGACCTTTCCCCACTCTCCTGTCCTTCAGAGAGGGATTTGAGGCCCCAAACTCTCAGGCAAGCAGAGCTGGGCGAGCTGAATCCAGCCCTAAATGGTGAAATGAAGGCAGCATTAAAAATGTAAAAAATACTGCATAAGAAAATGGAAAAAAACCCATAAAAGCTTAACAGCTGATGTAAATTATACATGAACAGCTCTGAAGAGCTCCAAGTGATGAGAGAAACTAAAACCTGGCGGGGAAAAATCGTGTCTGGCAGGGCTAAAACCACTGAAAATGAGAGCTGGAAATAAACACCAACATCAGGAACAAAGCAGAGCCTGGAGGCAGCAGGGGCCGGGGTGAGATCCTGAGCAGGGCAGGAGGGAGCGAGGGAGGGATCCTGGCTCTGCCTCCTCCCCTCCCCTGGAGCCTGCACCAGCAGCCAGGGAAGCTCTGACACCAACCATGAGAAAAGGTGTCAGAAGTACCTAGGAGAAATGATATTTTTAGCTCAGCAGGCTGGGGAACTTGCAGCTTAAAATAATTACCTGAGCCAGGAGCTACCTGGGGCAGGGCAGGGAATTTGTGCTGGCTCCTGGAACGCTCAGGGCTGGAGGTTCAGACTGGGAGGGGAGACAGCTTAGGGGACAGAAACTCCTTGGGGTGACCCAAATGGGACCTTGCAGGGCCCGAAGGGGCTCCATGACCCGAGCCTGTCATTGCTCCATTCCTACTGATGCATCAGGAATGCTGCTCCAGGGCCCACTTGCAGGTGGCACGGGAGCTTTAGAACTGCCTGGAAAGGAAATGTTGCCAAGGAAAGCTGATTTGGTGCTTTGAGTGTATCCCAAGTTTGGTTTGTGAAGGCACAGACACAGGAAACCTGCAGGGCAGGGGGTTTACCCACAGCATCCTCACCAAGCAGTGAGCACAGCAGGCAACAAATATAAATAAAAGGCAGGAACTCGACCTCCAGCCTGCTTTTCCCAAATACAAAAAACACAAATGTAAAAAAATGATACAAAAAATCTGGGCAGGGCACAGAGCCCATCCCCAGGCAGACTGGAGCAGGGGGCTGGGAGGGGCTCAGCTGTGCCTGTTTAAGGGATTTTAAATCCCTCTTTAGGGATTTACAGCCCTGAGGGAGCAGTGAGGGTAAAGGTTAGGGTGTTCTGATGGGCAGAGCTCAGCGGGGCAGAGTTTTCTGGGTGACATTTTGCTCATTCCCAGCAATTCTGCTGTAGCTGAAGGGCTCCTGGCTTGGAGGGAGCAGAACAACTGGTGCAAACCCAGCTCTCACTGAGAACCAGGCACACATTTCTGACTGTTCAGGCCAATCTGCATTGGCAGGGAGCTCTCCACTTTGGATTCCTCCAGCTCCAGAGCAGATGTCTGTCTGGAAGAGCTTTAACCAAGGAGAAGCTGCAGGGCTCCAGAGGGGGAATGGGGGAATGGAAACAGCCCCACAGAACCCTGACCGTTCTGTGAGCAAGGTGTGGGAGCAGATAACCCCAGTGGCTCCTGGGGAGGGCTCCAGCCCAGAACAGCTCAGCTGAACCTCAGGGCTCTGTTCCAGGTGTGGGGAAGCCCCAGGATGGAGCTGGTGCAGCCTCTGTGGCCTCCTCCCCCAGCCTGGGCACCCCAGGGGGATGGAGCTCCCCTTTCACCAGCCCCACCTGCTCTGGAACAGATTTGGTAACAAAAAGGGAGCTGGGGAGGGACAGGGGACAAGGCCTGGAGGGACAGGACACAGGGAATGGCTTCAGAGTGGTAAAGGGGATTTGGGTGGGATATTGGGCAAGAATTGTGCCCTGGCCCTGGCACAGGGTGCCCAGAGCAGCTGGGGCTGCCCTGGATCCCTGGCAGTGCCCAAGGCCGGGCTGGGCACTGGGGCTGGAGCACCTGGGACAGTGGCAGTGTCCCTGCCATGGCAGGGTGGCACTGGGTGGGCTCTGAGGTCCCTTCCCACCCCTGCCCTGCCATTGTCACCCCTGTGCCACTCACACCCCTGCCAGGTCTCTCCCTCCTCACCCCTCCCCCAGCATCTTTGGGGCTCCTTGTCTTGCCCCAAATCCCCCAAGGCCAGGCTCTGTCCCCAAACCCCCCAAGGCCAGGCTCTGCCCATGCCCTGCAGGGAGAGCAAGAGCCCAGGTGTGGCACAATGTCCCTGCAGCCACCCCTGTGAGCTCAGCCTGGGGAACTCCATGAAAACACAGAGGGACCCTCATGAGGAACCCAACCAGGGACATTTTTGGGAGCTGAGAGGCAGCAGCAGAGCCCTGAGACAAAGCCCAGGTGTGGCAGGGGCTGGGCAGGCTCAGCTCCTTGCCCTGGCACTCACACTGTACCCTGCTCCTTGCCCTGGCACTCACACTGTGCCCTGCTCCTTGCCCTGGCACTCACCCCCTGCCCTGCTCCTTGCCCTGGCACTCACAGCCTGCCCAGCTCCTTGCCCTGGCACTCACAGCCTGCCCTGCTCCCAGTTTATTTCCAGTGCCAGTGAGGAGTGCTGAGCCCAGGTACCAACCCAAACCCCTCTAAGCCCCCCAGATTTCGGGTTCTGCATGTTTTATCCACCCACAAACCCCACTGGGCAGTGCTGAGCCCAGGTACCCACCCACACCCCTCTAACCCCCCCAGATCTGGGGCTCTGCATGTTTTATTCACCCACAAACCCCACTGGGCAGTGCTGAGCCCAGTTACCAACCCAAACCCCTCTAACCCCTCCAGATCTGGGGCTCTGCATGTTTTATTCACACCAGCCTGGAGAAAGGTTCACGCCCTGCTCCCCACACAGGGCTGCCCTGGCCACGGCTTTTGGCATTTCCAAAAGCTCCTGCTGCTCCTCAGGAAGGGTTTTTAGGGAGTGGCAGCAGAGCAGGGACCCCGGAGCCCCCGGGGAGGGAAGTTCTGCCTTTGGCTCCTTACTTTGAGCAGCTTCATCAGCCCCTCCAGCTGCACCATCAGCTCCCTTCTGCTCTCCTGCAGGGCTGACATCCTCTGCTCCAGCTCATCCTTCCTCTGCCTGTGCCAGGGACATGGGGCAGAGAGCAGAGACAAGCTCAGGCTGTGCCGCAGGGAATTCTGCACTGCCGCTGCCCTGCTGCCCTTCCAACCCCTGGGGGTGACAGCTCCCTGCTGTCCCCAGGCTCAGCCCTGCAGGAAAACCCCTGAGCGTCGGAGCTGGCATCCTGCAGGGCCAGACTGAGCAGGAGGAGCCGCGGGAGCGGAGAGGGGAAATGAGGGCAGGAAGGGCTGCGGGGCTGGGGGACACCGAGCTCCCTGCAGTGACACAGCAGCCAGGACACGTCCCTGCAGCACAGCCAGGGGACAGCAGCCAGCCGGAGTGACTGCTGCAGGCAGAGTTATTATTGTTATGTGGAATATATCGTATATAACAACCGTATTGTTATACATCAACAATCGCTATCAGTATAAATGTTAATGTTAATTATCGAGATTATAATATTGATAGTAATAATCATAATAATAACAACGACAATAATAATGCATTTAATAAAGCACATTTTAACCACCCTGGGGGCTGGCACTGCCACACTGTGGAAAACCCACAGAGGGACACTGTGGACACTCCACAGCAGGAGCTGTTCTTTAAAGGACACAAAACTCTGCAATATTTATCTATTCCATATAGAAAGATATATTATTATTATTATTATTATTATTATTATTATTATTATTATTATTATTATTATTATTATTATTATTATTATTATTACAAATTTTAACCACCCTGGCTGTTTGGCACTGCCACACTGTGGACACTCCACAGCAGGAGCTGTTCTTTAAAGGACACAAAACTCTGCAATATTTATCTATTCCATATAGAAAGATATATTATTATTATTATTATTATTATTATTATTATTATTATTATTATTATTACTACTATTATTCACAGGCTCTTATGTATAGTAAACATAATTTTTCCTGAAACCAGTTTACATTTTCTAAACCTGTTTAGTGCGGTTCTTCTTTGGGTTTGTTTTTTTAAGTATGTGTATGCCTTGGCTGTGGTTTTGGCTTTTTTGTTATTTATTTCCATTTTGGCTCTGGCCCACCCTGTCTTTAGGCAGTGAGTGTTGACAGTTGGTGTGTTTGCAGTAGGTGGTTTTTTCATGTGGTTCTTGGATGTTATCTCATCTAAGGAGCTAATAATAATAATTACTATTATTATGCATTGTAATATTGGCTTTTCTCAAACATGAAAATGAATTTTATATGTGTAATGTTAAAGTAACTTTGTTACAAAGATGTGGTTTTTTATTTCTGTTGTTAGTTAAAATAGGGAAATAACTAATATAAGTATACTTGTGTTAAAATAGCTACTTAGATGAGATAAACACAGGAAAAAACCACCTACTGCAAACACACCAACTACCAACAGTCGCTGCCTAAAGACAGGGTGGGCCACAGCCAAAACTGAAAATAATAATAATAAAAAACCCTAAAACCACAAAGAACAGACACACTCGAAAGAAACAGACCCAAAGAACCACACTAAACAGCTCTTAAAAGATGTAAATTAATTTTTGAAAAGATGTAAACTAATTTAAAAAAAGATGTAAACTAATTTTTAAAAAGAAGAATCACAGAATCATCACAAGATGTAAATTAATTTAAGAAAAGAATTATGTATACTACACATAAGAGTCTGTGCATATGCAAGAAGCTGCTGTAGGAGAATCCAAGGAGTATCTCTGGAGAGCCCCGAAAACCTCTGCTCTGTGTTCCCTGTCTCCTTGTGTCCTCTACTAAACTTTTCCCAGGGGAGTGAAGGTGTTTGCACCGGGGAGTGAAGGTGTTTGCACCGGGGAGTGAAGGTGTTTTCTCAGGGGAGTGAAGGTGTTTGCACCGGGGAGTGAAGGTGTTTGCACCGGGGAGTGAAGGTGTTTGCACCGGGGAGTGAAGGTGTTTGCACCGGGGAGTGAAGGTGTTTGCACCGGGGAGTGAAGGTGTTTGCACCGGGGAGTGAAGGTGTTTGCACCGGGGAGTGAAGGTGTTTTCTCAGGGGAGTGAAGGTGTTTTCTCAGGGCAGTGAAGGTGTTTTCAGTGGGGAGTGAAGGTGTTTGTACTGGGGAGTGAAGGTGTTTGCACCGGGGAGTGAAGGTGTTTGCACTGGGGAGTGAAGGTGTTTGCACTGGGGAGTGAAGGTGTTTGCACTGGGGAGTGAAGGTGTTTGCACTGGGGAGTGAAGGTGTTTTCTCAGGGGAGTGAAGGTGTTTTCTCAGGGCAGTGAAGGTGTTTTCAGTGGGGAGTGAAGGTGTTTGTACTGGGGAGTGAAGGTGTTTGCACCGGGGAGTGAAGGTGTTTGCACCGGGGAGTGAAGGTGTTTGCACTGGGGAGTGAAGGTGTTTGCACTGGGGAGTGAAGGTGTTTGCACTGGGGAGTGAAGGTGTTTTCTCAGGGGAGTGAAGGTGTTTTCTCAGGGCAGTGAAGGTGTTTTCAGTGGGGAGTGAAGGTGTTTGTACTGGGGAGTGAAGGTGTTTGCACCGGGGAGTGAAGGTGTTTGCACTGGGGAGTGAAGGTGTTTGCACTGGGGAGTGAAGGTGTTTGCACTGGGGAGTGAAGGTGTTTGCCCAGTACCCCGGTACCCCGGTATCCCTGTATCCCATCCTGGTAACCCAGTAGCCCCTCCCAGTCTCCTATCCCTGTATCCCATCCCGGTATCCCGGTATTCCATCCCAGTAGCCCGGTATCCCAGTACCCCAGTATCCCACCCCAGTACCCCAGTATCCCATCCTGGTACCTGGTAACCTATCCCGGTACCCCAACACCCCAGTACCCAGTATCCCATCCCGGTACCCCGGTAGCCCATCCCGGTAGCCCAGTATCCCAGTACCCCAGTACCCCATCCCAGTATCCCAGTACCCCATCCCAGTACCCCAGTACCCCATCCCGGTACCCCAGTATCCCAGCCCGGTACCCCAGTATCCCACCCCGGTACCCCAGTACCCCATCCCAGTACCCCAGTACCCCGCCCTGGTACCCCAGTATCCCAGTACCCCAGTACCCCATCCCAGTACCCCAGTACCCCAGCCCGGTACCCCAGTACCCCATCCCAGTATCCCAGTACCCCACCCCGGTGCCCCAGTACCCCAGCCCGGTTCCCCGGTCCCCGGCGCCGGTGCTGTTACCGCAGCAGGCGCAGCTCGGCCAGCAGCGTGGGGTTCTGCTGCGCCTTCTCGGGCGTGGGCTGCGAGGCCTGCTCGTGCTCCAGCCGCAGGCGCTGGATCTCCTGCAGGATCTCCCTGCGGCACGGGAAAGGACAGCTCAGCTGGAGCACAGCGCCCGCTGCACCCCGGCTTTTGGCAAACAGCGCGGGGAACAGCGGACGTGTCGTGTCAGAGAGCTGTGCTGCATCCATTCTCTTGAGCAGCGTCTTAAATACAGCTCTGGGTTATAACATA